TTACTCCATGGCAGCAATGAAATCCACCTGCAGCATTCGAGAACTAGAGAAGACAGAGATTGAAAATGAAGAGGTACTAGATGATGTCGGCAAGGAGCTAGCCGAAAGGAGTGAAAAGGCACTAAAAATCCTCGTCCAGGAGGGGGATGAAGAACGCTTCTTTTTTCTCGGCTTAGGCTTAGCCGAAGAAGAAGAAAGAGAATTGGAAGCTTGTTTGAGAGCAAACATTGAGGTCGGCCAAACTTGTAATCCAACAAGCAATGGTGATTAACAATGAAGCAAAGCTTCTTGGAAAGCAACAAGAAATAAAACCAGGAGGAACAGTGGCTTACCAGAAAGAGGGAAGCCGAAATGAGAATTGCCGAAGTCTGACGACAATGACAGAATGACGTAAAACTTCACCGGAGGAGAGAAACGAAGACAGTTGCAGAAGCTTGAAAGCTTGGAACAAATGACAGATTTAAGCAAAAGATCTAGAAAGAGAAGAAGCCAGAGGATTAAATGAGAAAAGAGAAAAATAGTCAAGAAGACGACAAAGTTCAAGAATAAAGCCAAGTACACAAGCACTAAGTAAGTATGTGAAGAACAAGAAAGTAATGAACCAGACATGATGTTAGCAACAGAAAGCGGATATGACAAAGAACAGTTCCAGGCATTTTAGCAATAAGAAATCAAAAACTTGAAGACAGACGAAAATAGAAGGCAACAGATGGCAAATAAACAGATTTAAAGTAAATCAAAAGAGTTATGAAAGATTGAGCTTAATAGCAAGTAAAGAGTTTTATGAACCTACAAAGTGAAATGAACGCCGATATGAAAATCGCCAGAGTCAAATAGATGACTGGAAATCGGGAACTCACCAGAAAGTGTGAGTGGAGCAGTTGCAAAGCTCTTGGAGTTTACGAATTAATGGAACCAAAACCTCAGCTAGGAGGTGCGATTTCGAGCAGCTTGGAAAGCATGAAACTTGATTCTTGATAGAAATGGACAGTAAAGTCCAGGGAACTTTGAGGTCAGCGAGTTTGATCTCGGACAGAGGGGCACAGATGAACGAACAGTATAGGTTCCATCACCTCAGAAAGCCGAGGTTGCCGAGGTAATAGAACCTAGGGGCAGTTGTGGGGATATATTTTTTGAGTACCAACACGTGGCAAGGTGACGCCGACGTGTCAGCCTAGGTGCCACGTGTCCTGGTCATGACGCCGAGGTGATCTCGGCAAGGCCGAGGTTATCTCCGAAGATATTGGAATTCGAGATAAATGGATAAGGGACACGAGTCCTAAAATGAAAAGGGAACTCAACTTGGATAAGGGACAAGAGTCCTAGATTGGGAGAAGACTTCAGTTTGGGTAAAGATGAGACTCTTAGAGAGTTTATCCTAATCCTACTGGGAGTCCAAGATTAGCAGTAATCCTGAGTCCATTGGAGTTAGGCTCCTATTGGGACTAGGATTGTATTGGCTGTAAAAGAGAGGCACCCCCATGGGTCTAAGATATGCTTTTGATACTCAAGCTTGTGAGTTTAGTACTTTATTTATCTTTGAGAGATATACTGACTTGATCGTCGGAGTGCCTCCGGGTGGTCGAAACCACCGCGGGATTCTTATATTTCTGTTGTAGCTCCGTCAGGTGCCATCTATTCTGCCAGTGCTCTCCAGCTGGTTACTAAGCGGGCAGTGTAGTCGGAAAATCACCCACACACATATCTATCTATGTATTTTATAGTTGTTAATTTTATACCGTACTCACCGATACGCATCATATGAGAGAGAAAATAAAATATAAATACGTCAATACCATTTGGATTAATTTCTTGATGAGTACTAGACAATATAAGCCGAAAAATGTAATTTTGGCAGAATTGAATGGTACCAAACAAAGTGAATTTATGATTTATGATTTATGATTTATTTTATATATTGTATCAAATATATTATATGATATACCTTGTTATCTTAAGAAAACAAAATATACAACTTTGGATATTTAAATTATATGCTACTAGACAATATTTTTAATACATATATAATATTTTTGCGATAAATTCAAAACGGTACCCGGAAATATACCGGTATTGGTAGGTACCGTATCAACAGAAAAAACAGAACTTTATTTGGTACGGGATTAACAACTTTGTATTGGATTCGTTTGGTGTAACTTATTATAAGTTGAAAGCTAAAAATTAAAAACTAAAAGCAATATATTCGAGCTTGCAGATAATCAATTTTTTAAAATTTACTTATGTTATTTCTATTTAATAAATTATAAATAAAAAAAAAGGGACCAAACAGATTAATGTAGTCTCAGACAAGCTGCACTTGCACCAAGCACCAAACAACTCCATATTTGTACCGTATCGCAACTAGTTTACTGTGATCGAGATCAACCCATTTCAACCCAAAAAAGCCCATTTTGAAAGTTGCAATGGATCTGATAAGGGCAAATCTCTACATAAGAGCAGCCCATCAACCTAAAAATTGGTTTCAGTTTCCAAAACCCATTCATAATGGGGCCAAAACTAGTGACAATGCATATCAAGGCCGCCATATGTTAATGTCACTCCTAGCCTGAGATAGGAACTATACTGGAAAACCTCAAACTCAGGATTTGGACTTGGAAAGGCCTGGTGCAAAGCTGGGCCGAGAACAATCCGGCCCAACCCATTCAAGGTTACAAATGTTAGGTGGGCGTTGGGTCAAGTTATGTTCTTATCATTTGAAATTCGTATCATTGCTAGCTAAAAGCATAAAGTGTATGAAGAAATCAAAATTTGTTTCCAAAATTTAAATTTAATTAAACAAATTTCTATTAAATGAAATTAGTCATAAGATTATTTGATTTTAACTTAATTTTAATTTTCTAATTTATCAATTTGGAAAATGCTAGGCATCATGAAAAATGCTTTATGAAAATGATCATGAAAGAATCTCCATCCTTATATTATATTTTGTAACTTATTGTATATATAATCTAAGGGTCAAAAAACTTTTAGGATAATTTTCGTGAAATATTTTTCATGATACCTACCATTGCTCAAATAATTTTTTCCTTTCACTAGACTATGTCAAATAATAGACAAAATAAATTATATTCGGTTAAAAATAAAAACAAAGCCTATTACCCTTAAAATCTTATTTTATGTACTTTTCTATTAAGTTGAATAGAGTTACATGAGAGAATTAAAATGTCATGGCACTCCTTAATCTAAATAATATTAAAATATGTAATTACTTTTTTATTAAATAAGTTATTCGTGTCAATTTTATATTATGCAGATTCAATACTAACCTAACTTATTTATTTGTGTTATCGAGTGCTATCATGTATATGTTTGAATCAAAAAGTGATCAATTTTAATCCACTAAATTAATATACAATTCGTATCGTGTTATAGTTTTAGTTTTATAGAAATGGAAATAGGTAAAGATGGGAAAGAAACGATAGCAAGAGCCCAAACCCAAATATTTTTTTATTAATATTATATTTATTTATTTATTTCATGGGTTTTTATTTTAGCGTTTTGTTTTTTTTTTCCACCATTACATTGCTGACTCTTTGTTTTCCACCGACTCATCACCAAATGATGGCTGAAGACCCATGGGCTCACTGGCCCAAATATCAACTTTGACTAAATGCACCTGGGGGTGCTGCTGTGACTTAGCCACAGCAGCAACCTGCTATGCTTCTGTGGAGGATTTTTTCGAGTCTTTTTTAATGATCTGATCGTTCACATTATAGGGTTTGTTAAATAGATCATCCATGCAAAAAATTAAATTGATTGGAAATCTATAACTTTATAACAAGAATACATTTGTTTTTTTAAAAAATAAATGGTTAAGATTATCTTGATAACTCTTTCATTTTATTGTGTTTATTTTAAAAAAAAACTTATTTCTTAAAATGTATTTATCACCAATTTTTTAGAATATGATATGTGAGACTCACATGCTATATAAATTGAAATTAATTTATTAACTATCTATTTTTTGTATATATAGAAAACTATATTTTCTCAAGAAATATCATATTAAGTGCAAATTAAATTTGGAGTTCAAACTTTATTATATGTCACATGTCTTTCATTTTTTTTATTTAAAATAAAAAAATTAAATAAATAAAAGAAATGTATCTAAACTTATTAGATTTTGAATCTATTAAAAAAAGCTTTAATATTTTATTAAAAAAAAAGTTTTAATATATAAACTTATTAGATTTCAAATCTATTAAAAAAATGTTTTACCACTTAAATCACATTTAGCCCTGGTTTGACATTCTCACTTGGGCTAAATAATTACACAAGGACAAAAAAGAATTACAAAATCACAAAATGCCAAAAAAATTGTGTTGAGATGCAAAATTACCAAAATGACCCATATACAAACAAAAAGTCAAAAAAGCATCATTTCAAAGTGGAGGGCAATTTTGTCATTCCAATGCAAAAAAATCAAAAAAGCCAAACAAGAAAACCAAACAAACAAAAAAGTCTCAGGCTAAAAAAATCAAAAAATCTAAAAAGTCAATTAAAAAAGTCATTATCAAACACTACCTTAATATATAATAAATATTTTATTTTATTTTTATTTATTTGACGGTTACACACATAGTAACTACTAGTTGAAAAACTAAGGAAACCCCATTGAAAGCAAGTGGATATATATTTTTGTTATCTCCGATATGCCTGAAGCTAGCTCTGACAACAATATCGATCATCGAGATCCCCTGACCCTGGTGATTACCTCAGAAGAGGAAGATCACCTGATAAGAAGTACCAAAAAGATCAAAAGCTCAACCTCCACTATGGATCAACCCATGGAAAATGAGGTAGCTATGGATACTGAAAGGGCAAAGGAAAGTCCCCCACCCAAATCTTTTAAGAAAGCACTGACCTCCACTTCCAATGGAGATTATCTCTTTGATAGTAGAGTTGAAATCCTCTCCTTGGATGAGAAGGAAGAGGACTAGGAGAGCTATTCTCATATTACAACCACTTTTCCAGATCATATGGGACTCCCGCGTATCTCACTGCCAAAAAAACTTCTGGAGAAGATCAGAAAGCCGTGGGTTAATGCTTTGATTGTTCGACTATTGGGCAAAAATATTGGGTACAAAATGCTATGTGCCAGAGTCAAGACTATGTGGCGACTACAAGAGGAGTTTAATGCCATTGACCTTGGCTTCAATTATTTTCTTTTTAAATTCTTTGACCCCTTCGACTGTGAAACTGTCTTCACGGGGGGCCCATGGGTGATTATGGATCATTACCTCACAGTCAGACGATGGGAACCAAATTTTAAACCATCGAAAGCTTTTGAAACCACAACCGCAGTCTGGGTTCGGTTTCCCGAGCTTCCGATAGAGTATTACCAGGAGAAAGTCTTATTCACTATTGCTAAAACCATTGGCAGACCTCTGAAAATTGACTGGACCACGACAATGGCTACTCGGGAAAAATTTGCTCGAGTGTGTGTGGAAATAGATTTGAGCAGGCCCCTGAAACCCAAATTCCTACTTGAGGGCAACTGTTACTTCATTGAATATGAATCCCTCCATTCCTTCTACTTCCTATGTGGACGGATAGACCATCGAAAAGAAACTTGCAGATTCAAAATCCATAATGCTCCACCGAAGGGGAAAAATCCAGCCGTTATCGGCGAAGAGGTCACTATCAACACTCTATCAGAACCTAACGGTTACTTGCAACAAGAGTTAGATGATGCAGAGGCTTTCGGCCCATGGCTGCTAGTTACTAAAAGAAATCGAAGGCCAGTCCATAACAAAAGGGCCCAAGATCCTCATGACCGAACCCACCAAAATAAATTTAAAAGCCTAGAAGAGGGCCCAGATGGCCAAGCCACCTACCACAGGGGCAAGAAAAACAACCCAGTAGGTCATGAGATAGCCCAACAAGAGCCCAACCTCCAAATCGGATCAAACCAACCCAATGAGCCTAAAGGTAACGACAAAACTAGGGCACTCCATCCCCATTCCACAGATTCAGACAACCATAATCCAATTCGGAGACACTCCAGCTGGAAGCTATTGGAGGAAGGTACATCATCACACCATAGAGATCCTAGGGAAGAAACACAAAGCTGCGATACAGACATGGGCGTCAGTCACCCTAATGACAGTCTTCAGACTGCAAAAGCTACTGAATTGATTCCTACAGTAGTGCACACTTAACCCCCGAATGATCTAACTATGGTTGATGTTAACCTGCCCCTGCCAACTAGGGCACTCACATCTCTCAACAACACACCAGCTCTCAATCCCTCTATTTCCCTATCTCACGAAAGAGAGCCACCCGATCCAGGAGATCTTATCCATGGCGACGGATGACAGCCCGATCCTAGACTACTGACAAATGGAGGTGGTAAAGCACCTCAACCAGACCAGCCCTCTGAGCCTATTGTTAGAACCAGAGACAGAAGCAACTCACCTTATCGCTTTCGTATGGTGGATCGAACAAATATGAATGACAGCAGAGCTAAGCTGGGAGGACAGGAAATTGAAGCCTTTCCACTCATTCCAGATGGCCTCCATGAGGTCGGAGGCAGACGACCGTCGGAGGATCCGTCGCATCATTAAGGATCTGGTAACCGACTCTCCCTTAACTTACCCACCCATGGATTTGCTCCGATTACTTTTTTGGAATTGCCGTGGGTCCAACAGTAAAACCTTTAAACGAAATTTAACTGAGCTTATTTGAACTCATAAACTTGAAATTCTAATTCTACTGGAAACAAAAGTGCCCTTTACCAAAATGGGAATTTTTTCAACCACCTGGGATTCACTGCATCCACTGTCGTTGATCCAGTAGGAAGAATGAGAGGAATTTGGATAGTTTGGGATACCAGTCAAGTCAATGTTTGAGCTTTTTCTACTAACTCCCAATCCATTCATGCTACCATTCATAAAGAAGATTTTGAAGAATGGGTCCTTGCAGCAGTCTATGCCAGCCCTAACCCTGTTTTGAGGGAAAACCTGTGGGAGGACCTGGAGGCAGTGGCTAGTGGTATAGATAAACCATGGCTAGTAGCTGGTGATTTCAACGATTATACTAACCAAGGGGAAACATGGAGCTACAGACCTTCCCACAATTCTGTTCGTAACCAAAAGTTCTTGGATAGGATCAATAACTGCAACCTGATCGACCTTGGGAGTTCGGGCCCCAGAATGACATGGACGAACAACAGACATGGTCTAGCCAACACTATGGAGAGGTTGGATAGGGCCATGCGCAACTCAGATTGGAGAACCATGTTCCTTGAAGCCACAGTCAGGGTTCTTCTAAGAACCTACGCTGACCACTCACCATTGATAGTTGTAGACATCCCATTTTTGACCGACCTTAAGACTTAGACGTCACCAACTGAGCGCTCGGTGATGTTGCGTATTGTGCTCGTTCTGAGGTTACAAAGTCTCGGCTGAGAGCCTTGCCTCCGAGCTTCAAAAACCTTTTCGTGCCTTGCCTCGATTTGCGAATCAGGTCCTGTTTTCTCTGTTTTCTCTTCCTGAAGGGAGGGAGAGGTCTCGTAGACCATCTCTCAATGGCTGTAGGCTAAGTTTCGTGGTCGTAGGCCATTTTTTCCATTTAGAGACCAGTTTTTGGTTTTCGAAGTCGTCGGTCGTGTGCCTCGGTTCGGGACCGCTTAACTACCTCCGTTTGCTCCGATTTTTGGCACACACCTTGTTTCCTCTCCTTAGAGGGACACTGTGGCCCGGAAGACCACCTTCGTGGTCGCACGCCACTTTCGATGCTTAATAGTCTGTTTTCAGAGCCCCCGGCTGCGCGTTTTGGCCCCCAAACCTTCGTTTCGCATCGGTGTGGGTTCATTTTTGGCATGGACCCTAGTTTCATTGTTAAGAAGGTGGTGGTAGGGTGGGAGACCACCTTTTCTTCTTGGAGACCACCTTTCCCGGTTGGTCAATTTTTCTTGACAAGTAGGTGCTCTCCCTCACTTTTGAGCCACATTTTCTAGTCTCCCATACCACCACTGAGTTGCATTCACCTAGGAGACCACCAATATGGGTTGGCTGACCACCTTTCGAGCTTGACCCTTTTGACCCCTGGTCGGCCAACTAGGGCAATTGGTTGGCCGACCACTTGAACTGGTCGGCCAGCCTTCTACTTTTTGGTCTCCCTGAATGCAATCCAGCTGTGCCAGCTGGGAGGCATTTGCTCCATCCTCCGAGGTTTGACCCGCTTGTTTTGGCTTCTTAAAGAAGCTTGGTCCTTCACTTTTAGCTTCTAAGAGAAGCTTGACCTTTTGTTTAGCTTCTTGAGGAAGCTTGACCCCTTTGGTCTAGCTTTCTCAAGAAGCTTGACCCTTTTGTTTAGCTTCCTTTAGAAGCTTGGTCCATTTGCTCTAAGTTTCTAAGAGAAGCCTTGGACCTCTTCTTCTATAAGCGAGACCTTCCTCTCCACTTGTAAGGGTTGAGATTTTTGCGTCTAAAGCTTATACACTTCCCTCCATATCTCTCTACTTTAAGCTTCAAAAGTAAATAGTTCTTGGACCCTTTGCACTACATCTCCAAGCACAACACCTCCATGGTCAACCTAAGCACCTAGGAGTTCATTTTCAGAGGTTGAAGAGTTTCTATTTTGGTCCAGAAGCTGCTGGCCTTCTTCTCTACAAGGGTAAGTCTCTATTTCCCTCTTTGTAGCCTTATTTTGCTCCATAGTTTAGCTCTATTTGAAAGCATTTTTGGGCTTCGTCATAAACTGAAAAGTCTTGTTTTGATCTTCTAAACATATTTGTTTCAGACCATTTTTCTGTTGGGGGTCATCTACCCCCTTGCATGATTCATTTCATCTTGTTTTGAGCTATGCATTAGAGCATTTTTGTTGGCCTTGGTTTGGCCTTTTAGCCACTGAAATCCAGTGGATTTTTAGTGGCTAACATGTGTTTTTGAGTATCAAAATCAGAGAGGGATGGCCCTCTCACCCCTTGTTTTGTTTACTAGCTTTCTTGGCCTTACAAAGGAGCCCATATTTGCACACTTCTTGAGCATGTTTCAGGCCACTTTTTGCAAGTTTTGTGACCTGCATAGGCTCTGGCCGGGGCCCTTTTTTCCATGTTGAATTTCTATTATGCATGTGTAAAGTAATCCTCTTCATGGCCTTCCAAAGGGGCCTTTACTTGCATGCTTCCTAGACTTATTTCAGGCCCTTTTCAGTGAGTTTTAGGGCCCTCATAACCTCTGTCCAGAGGTAGTTTTGCCATTTTGTGTGTCCATCATACATGTGTACAATAACCCTCTCATTGGCCTTTCAAAGGAACACTTCATTCTAACATGCGTTGACTGAGTTTCAGTGGGTTTTTGGTCATATTTGGGCATGCCATGTTTCTATTTTTGGCTGGTTTGGTTTCCCCTCATGTGCTTCATATACATGTAGTGTAAACAATGCTTACTAGCCTATGTTGCATGTTGTTTTGGCCCTTCATGTTACCACTTTTTGGCCATGCCTTAAACTGATTTTGTGCATGTTTTGGACTGCCTTAACTCAGTTTTTGGGTCTCATAGTCGAATGATGCTTGTTTTGCATGCTTGTAGCTCAATATCCATGCCTAGCTTTGAGTTTTGAGGTCCATCGTATGCATGTACTGAGGTGTTTTCATGTTTTGGGGCCATTGCACATCATATTTTAGAGCTTATATGCATGCCATATTCCCATAATTTCCACTCTTTAAGTGCATTAGAGAGTCGGGCTTGTATGCCTCATTTACCGACCATTGCATGGGCTTCATTTGAATGCATTCCGAGACATCATTTTAGACCAATTTCCCACTGTCTTGGACCTGCCAATGGTCTGTTTGGGGTTGGTTTTTCCATCTGTGCATTGCCTTGTGTACCTCTAGTGTAACCCGTCTCACTAGTTTCGGTATTCGAACCATCTTGCATGCATTGTGTGACATATTTGCATGATTCGGGACCATTGTACATTATGTTTCAGAGCTGGAAAATGTGGGTTTGCATGCCATACTTCATCCTTTGTCATGCTTAGTTAGAATTGCATGTTGTGCCTTAGGATCGGTCATTTGCATCCGTGCATGTTTGCATGTATTTCGGTTGTCTCATTTTCATCATATGGCCACTGATGTGAGTGTGGCTGAGGTCCACTCATATTGGTGTAAGTCCATCTTGCATTTGTATATGCCATTTAGTTCATGTGCGCATGATAGTCTTCGTAAGTGCATTGTGTATGCCATGTTATGTCACGTGCATTGTGTATGCCATTTTAGCCCATAGCATTGTGTATGCTAGGTTGCATGTTAGTCGCATTATGTATGCCATCTTATTGCTTTGTGTTTGGAGTAGGGTTTAGTCCGAACACGGGAAACGAGGGACGTTTTGTACTCCAAGTGACGAAACGTTCCTCGATTCTCGGTCGCCGACACTCTTGACTGTCCATGATAGAGTTGTTGGCTTTACTTGCTTATATGTGCATTCATTTCACATCGAGTCGTGCAATTTGACTTCTCGGCCATCATGCGTCGAGATGTGTGATTGGTGACACGAGGATCGAGGACTACACTCCTTAGAGTTTGTGCAATGATAGGGAGAGTAGTCGTGCACACATTTGTTGAAAATACATTGCCTTTTCTCTCTCTTGCCTTTGTTACAGAAAAACCAGAAACCAGAGGTGGAAACTGGTCGGCCGACCAGATTTTCTGACAGGCCGACCACCCTCTTTGGTCTCCACCACAAAGGGTGGTCGGCAGGTGGTCTCTCATGCTAATAACTGGTCGGTGGCCTTCCCAAGGTGGAGTTTCAGCCTTCTGGAGCTTTGTGCAAGTTTCTGAGATCAATTGCAAACAAGGGTGAGGCGAGGCATCGCGATAGAATTTACCGACAAGGCGACTCGAGCATACATGCATCTTTCATTAGTCAGAACAAAGCTGAGGCAGTCCATTACCTGTAGTATTGCATGCTAGTTTATTCGCTTTCCTAGTTAATTTGTTAATTAATTAGGATTTTTGTAATATTTAATTAGCTAGAGTAGTTAATTATTCATTCGGACTGTATTATTTATTCAGACCCTCCGAGAGAGGGCCAATTGTTGTAATAAGTGTGCGTGTGTGTGATGTATGTTTTCCAACCCCACGTCTTTCTCCCTTTTATTTATCAGCTTATGATGGTTAGTTTAGGGCATGTTTCAATTAGCATACTTATGATAG